CCCCAAAACCCCAAAACCCCAAAACCCCAAAACCCCAAAACCCCAAAACCCCAAAACCCCGAGATAATTCTGAGGGATTGAATTTTCACCTACTATTTTAAACAGTCAAAGAGGACATCCAGGAGCTCCTCAGAATTATCAAGGTATATGTGATGGTCACTGTTTTCAATTACATATACGTTCTCGCCCTTCTCACGGAGTTGCTCTGAGACTGGAGGTCCGTTCAGGAATGTGTCTAGCCAGTCCCTGTCACCGTACACGAAGTATGTGGTGATACCAGCAGCTCTGTAGGTGTCTAGGTTGTCGAAGATAGGGGTGTGGGCAAGGATTGGTAGGATTAGTAGTCTAAATAGGTAAGTAAAGAAACATACTTAGAAATCGCCTTCTCTGCAGGTCCATTTCTCATATTCAGTTGGAATAAATAATCATTTGCAGAAGGAACTTCTTCCTTTGTGAATCCAGGAAGTTTCTTTTTGACATAACCTTTCATGAAGACTTTTCCTAGTAAGCGTCCGCTTTTATTTAACTGCCTTATCTGGTACTATTTGGTGCCTAAATAAGAACCTTGCAATTCTTAGGTATAGTCCAAATTTCCAATTGGATCTCATGACCATTCTGAGATTAATCTCTAAATTTTCTGGTCTAGCTTCTCATCCCATTGGAGATAAGAACACAATCTTTTTCACTCTCTCAGGATATTTTAAGGCGTATCTACTGGTAAGATAAGCACCAAAAGAGTGAACAACCATATACATATCAGTGAGTCCCATATGTTCTCTCCATTGTTCTAGAGCTTGAATGTAAAACTCCTCAGCTTCATCTTTGGTCCTTCCTAAAAAGTGTGGTCTAGAAGACCTGCCCATTCCAGGAAGATCAATCGCAATAACATGGTACTTTTCAGAAAGCTGTTGGAACAGTCTAAAAAAGATAGGACCTGCTCCTCCAAGCCCATGAATCAGCACAATCTGCTGTTTACTCCTATCTCCAAACTCATAAGTCTGTATATACTCATCTGTCACTCTCTTCACATGCTTCCTTCATCACAAAGGTATGCATCAAAAGTACCTCCTCTCCATTTCCCTTAACGGTCTTATCCTCCTCCCAGAATAAGGATCTACTCTTTCCTCTCCTTTCCCATCCTCTTCCCCATACCACTGATCCATCACATAAGGTACCTTATACCTCTCAATCTCATCTATCTCTAGTCCTGAAAATTCCAGCATCTTCTCTTCAGCTTTAACCAATTTCTCTTCAGAGATCCCTACAGATTAGGCTTAATGTACCTTTCCACCAGCTGTCTGCTTCTACTGTTCCTTTTATCATATTTTTATAATTGTATTGTTTTTGGGGTTTTGGGGTTTTGGGGTTTTGGGGTTTTGGGGTTTTGGGGTTTTGGGG